TTACGAGCGCATGCTCGTCTGCCGCTTAAATTCTCGAGCTCGTTATATCAGGATTGATTCTGATTGGGCGTCAGTGATTTTATTGTTCATCAGCTGGAAAAAATCGCATTGAAAGTGATTCCAACGATATCTTTTCTCTGTGCCTTTATCATTATAGCTGTGGTGTGAACTCTGCTATTCTTTAATACCGAGAACGATTTTTTTAACTATATCGTTATCTTTATAGTTATCATTCTTGGTGTGAACGGGCCTTTACACTTTATTATTCAAATGTTTATTATCCATTAAAAATGTCCATAGATTTTGAAAAGGACACAAGGAGAGCTTACACTCTTCTGTTAACTGGAAAAGAGTACATGGTTATAGGCCAAAGTTTTGAGTTGTGAGCATTAGGTCACACTTTATTTTAAGGTCTAATTCTCGCTATTAACAAACCATTAACTATGACTTTTGTTTCAATAAACTCCTAATTTGCTGCTTATTAATAGTTAGTAAGGCAGTTGTTAAGTTTAGATATTGGGTAGGATTAGGGATGTCGAATATGGTCATGCATTAATACGTGCTTTATACTGTAAGTACTAATAAACAGACAATATGCATGCTAATAAGCTGCTAGTTAATAGTGAGAATTGGTCCCTAAAGTGTTACCACAATGTCTTATATCAAACGTATATATTTCGGAAGCACAAGGAAAATAAAAAATACTGTCATTTCAGGTTACAAAACATCAAACTAATCATTAGCTGGATTCGAGGGAAGTATTAACAGGTTTGTTGTGTCTGGAGAGGTCATCTGCTGGAGCAGTAAAGAATATGATTGGGTTCTTCATGGGGTTTGTGAGTTTTTTTTTTTTTATATATTAAAAAACGAAACATATTTTAAACTGTAATAATATTTGCAATATTGTTCGTTCTGTATTATCAATCAAATAAATGCACCTTTGGTGAGCATAAGAGACTTATTTTAAAATGTTTTAAAAAATCTTACTGACATCTAACTTTGCAATGGTAATGTATTTTTTTCTTCCTTTTTTTCAGCTAGATATTGCTCTTTAGTCAAAAACTTGGTTGCAATCCATAGTGATTTTTGATGTCTGAGTTGTTCTTTAGATCGAGTTATGTTCATTAAATTGTTCACAAGTGATTTGTGAATTTTCTCAATCAAAATGATTTTGATTTTGAAAAAACATTAATTTGTAATCACAAATGACTGGAAAGGTCTTGGTAAAGCCATGGATAAAAAAAAAAAAGTATGGTAACTCTAAATCTAGTGCATTGGTGACCCTAGCCAAACAGTGAAGGAACATGAAAGACACTGGACATAGAGTTTTTTTTTTATATATTAAAAAACGAAACATATTTTAAACTGTAATAATATTTGCAATATTGTTCGTTCTGTATTATCAATCAAATAAATGCACCTTTGGTGAGCATAAGAGACTTATTTTAAAATGTTTTAAAAAATCTTACTGACATCTAACTTTGCAATGGTAATGTATTTTTTTCTTCCTTTTTTTCAGCTAGATATTGCTCTTTAGTCAAAAACTTGGTTGCAATCCATAGTGATTTTTGATGTCTGAGTTGTTCTTTAGATCGAGTTATGTTCATTAAATTGTTCACAAGTGATTTGTGAATTTTCTCAATCAAAATGATTTTGAAAAAACATTAATTTGTAATCACAAATGACTGGAAAGGTCTTGGTAAAGCCATGGATAAAAAAAAAAAAGTATGGTAACTGTAAATCTAGTGCATTGGTGGCCCTAGCCAAACAGTGAAGGAACATGAAAGACACTGGACATAGAGATGCTGAAAAAAAGACAGCTGCAGTTCTTTAGAGACAGAACTCTGGTCCCTTTTTAATGTGCATATATAGTTTCATCTTGGTTTTATTTCGTAAATAAAGTATTCTGATAAATGATTTATCGTTTATTGTTTAAACAGAAGCATGCCAGCTGTGCACAATCAACACCACTTATAATACAGGGTTTTCACTTAGAAGTCACAGTCCTTTCACATGCGGTTTATGGCATTTTGCTTGTGATGTGAACCTGCATTTTTGCATATGAGACCTCGTATTGGTTCTGATCGCTCTCTGTAGGCCTGAACTTCTGGAGTCTGTTTGTCTTCTTTGAGGGGTTTTATTACATAACCCCCCCACTTCCCCCAAGCTTTGGCCACAGCTAAACACGTTGGTGGTCCCTATCAGCACTTCCCTCATGGATCCCATTTGTAACGGAGGGCTCAAGTTACCGTGGGTCCTGCCTGAGGTATGGCTCAGTCTTATCAGCCTCTGTCTCTCTGGATTCTGGAAGCGGTATAACAGTTAAAGAGCCGGCACTGCCCAAAGATGTGCGTTCTTGCTCCACACGGAGGATGGAAATGTCGTGGTTATTATTTAAAGCGATGACTGTAGGTGATATTTAGCGGCTGCCAGTTGGAATTCACATCCTGCCATACTTTTGTGTGGTTTTATTTTATCTATGACTCATTTTGTTCTCGCTGCCAGATATCAGATCAGGCCTTTGACAGTATAGCTGTGACATGCTGGTCGAGGTAGGGTCATCAAATGGGAGGATGAAGATGCATGGTATTATTGGCTCTGTGGGCATGAAAAGTGTTATGCATTGTTTCATCTCCTTATTCTGGAAACAGTGTCTATTTGTGCACTTTAATGTACATGACTGACCTGGAGCTTTCTGTGGATATTTCTTGCAGGTTAAGTATCTCAAATGCACAGAGGAGATAAATGCGACCGAGTGTTTGGATTGAGATTTATTGCTGTTATTGTATGTGAGTTTGTTTATTCTGGGTTGAAGTCAGACGGGGGAATCTTGGCTAACCCTTCCTGTTTTGTGGATAAACAATGGGAAGAAACGAGCTCATCTGACTGCATTATCAGATTACCCAGCATGCCGTGGACTGGACATTTGGCGGTTATGTAACAGCACATCGGAATTTCTCAGGCTATTCGTGCGATTTGAGCGTCCATGGAAAACCACATGTAAAAATAGCCTTTGAAGTATTGTTATGTTTTAGGCATTCATGCTGCCATCCGTCAAGATCAGTAAGATATGTTTTACTGAAGTTTAGGATGACATAATATGGGTTACATTGCTAGTAATGTAGCAGCAATATGAAGAGGAAACATTATGGTTATTTCATTAAATCTCTAAAAGTTTTATCAGCCATAGATTCTAATGCATTTTTCATCTAAACATTCTTAAGGAGCTGATGCCAAATACCAACTCTGGCCTTCAGAACTAAAAAAAAACCTCACTGGATTAATAACTAAGATGAAAGAATTATGATGCTACACTGTAAAAAATATTTTTGCAAGTTGTAAATAAAACAAAGATTATTAGAGTACACTTTAGAACAATAATATTTCAGTTTTTGTACTTCAAAAATGTCATGTTTAATTCAATGTGTTACTTCGGTCACACTTTATTTTAAGGTCCAGTTCTTGCTATTAACAAACCATTAACTACGACTTTTGTCTCAATAAACTCCTAATTTGCTGCTTATTAATAGTTAGTAAGGTAGTTGTTAAGTTTAGGTATTGGGTAGGATTAGGGATGTAGAATATGCTCATGCAGAATATGTGCTTCATATGAACTAATAAACAGCCAATATGCTAGTAATATGCATGCTAATAAGCAACTTTTAAAAAAAAAAGTATTACCAATTTGATATTATATTAATGTAGCTACCAACTGACAGGGTTCTCTGTATATACAGTATTAGTTGAGGTCAGTTAAAAAAATGTACAATGTAATGATATTGATATTAAATCAATTCATGAAAGCTGCATCAATATTCAGTGGTTGCTATAAAGTGTTTTAAGCATGTTGCTACATTATGTAGGTGATTTTATGGCATTGTCAGATTGCCAGATTAAAAATGTACGATTGTTTGCTTAGTAAAGTAACAAAACTCCTCTCTACAACAAGCCACATGATCTGAAGAATCATTCATGACAAACAGTGTGAGACTGTACACTAAATTTAATACTTAACCCTAACTACACAACAGATCAACTGATAGAACACAGTTCAGTAAATCAAATGCAGTTGCTTTGAATGAGTAATTTCATAATCAGACTGTGTCATTACATGTACAAGATATTCTTTTTTCGGGGTAACTTTTGGCACGAATATAATTTCCAGAAGACTATGTTTAAAGACACATGAAAGGAGAAGATTCAGCTGGAATTAACAGCGGTGGATCTTATTCCATCTGAAAAGCCTCAGAAGAGCCAGAGGAAGCAAACAGATGAACGCGGCGCTTCTCGTAGATGTTGTATCTAAGCAACAGCCGCAGAAAAAGCCTTGATTCTTGTTGACGTCTCTCTGTCAGCTACCAAGTGTAGGCGATGTGGAGAGTCAAATTAATAGCCACTATCACATCACTGTCAGACCTTGGGAATGAGTTTTCTGTACATTAGAGCTTCTTAAGAGATTTGAGCGATGTTTTCCACACATTCAGAGTGAGCTCTGTTCAAGCTGCTTCCTAATGTTCCTGTGAGAAAGACTAAAGAGATGCGTCTCCCCCTTTTGGTTATTAATAGAAATGCAGCCTGCCCGTTTTTGCAAGAGGCTGTTTTTTTTTTGACAGGATCAAATGCTACTTCACCTTCTTTGTTGCTGTCTCAGAATCATTTAGCAGTAAACTAATGAAAACTTACTTAAAATATGAGTAATATAGATGAGATGGTGGCACTTCCTGGCTTAAACCAGCATCCCAGCGTCAAAACATACCTAACCAGCATATGCTGGTTTTTTCAACAGGGTGTAGAATGTGGTCATGAGGAATATGTGCTTTATAAGCACTAATAAACAGCCAATATGTTAATAATAGGCATACTAATAAGCAGCTAGTTAATAGTGAGAATTGGTCCCTATACTGAAGTGTTACCGTTTTCTATTGTTTCTGTTTTTGTTTGAAGAGTGTTGTTTGAAGTTTGTATGTTTGAAGAGATTTGGTTTCTTTCTCTTTAATCAGTGGGTGAGGCCCGAAATCTGATTCCCATGGACCCCAATGGTCTATCAGACCCGTATGTGAAGCTCAAACTCATCCCAGACCCCAAGAATGAGACCAAACAGAAGACCCGCACCATCCGCTCCTCGCTCAACCCCACCTGGAACGAGTCCTTCATCTTGTGAGTCTGTCAGCGGTAAACACACACTCTCACGGCATTGTAGATGTGTTTTCTCATGCATGTTTGTGTGCAGTAAGTTAAAGCCATCGGATAAGGAGCGCCGTCTGTCCGTGGAGGTGTGGGATTGGGACAGAACCACCCGTAATGACTTCATGGGCTCCATGTCCTTTGGTGTGTCTGAGCTGATCAAAGCTCCTCTATGTGGCTGGTGAGTCAAAAACACTGGCACCACAAACTGTTGTTTTTCTCACATACATTTCAATGTAAAATAGATGAAATGCATATTAATTATTTTAATACAGTGGCTGATATTACAGTATAAATCTATCATGTAAGTTATTCCTGTATTTTGAGATAAATTGGTGCTTTCACACTGCAGCTCTTATTCAGGCAATAAACCATAAAAGGACATGCTTTACAGTGATTTTACCACAGGTTCTTAGGCACAGTGCAACATGGAGTAGAATAAATAAAAAAAATCATGGCAACTGCAATACACTAATGTTCAATAAATAGTTAAAGATATTAATAAAAATCACAATTCTTATATACAGGTGTGGTCATAAGTTTACATACACCTTAGTGAATATGTGCAGTGTTGAGGACAGTTTCTTTTAAAAGTAATACATTGCAATATTGTGTTACTCCCTAAAAAGTAACTGATTGTGTTAGTTACATTTATGGAAAGTAATGTGTTAAATTACATTTCCGTTACTTTTTCTCATCTGGGTTGGGCTTGTTTGTTTTAATATATAAAAAGTTTTATTTTTGGCTAATGTAAAAGTCCTTTCACACCAGAAATGAATAAGAAAAATGGATCAGATAGATTAATAAAATTGGATTAAATACGTAAAGGATAATTGTGTTATTTCATAGATTTAATTATTGCAGGTTTGTGTCATATTCTGAGTTTGCATTTTACCGTTTTTATTCATTTTGAGGAATACTGAATCTGTTTTTGTGCAAGTGAGATGAGTAAATGCATGTTCACATTTAGTCTAGAACTACAGTAACATCATGTTTATGTGTTCCCTAATCTAAATTGTTACCAAGATCTTTAAACAAAATTAAAAAATGTTGGTCACACTTTATGTTAAGGTCCATTTTTCACTGCTTATTATTATTAATAGTTAGTAAGGTAGTTGTTAAGTTTAGGTATGGGGTCGGATTAAGGGATCCATAATATGGTGATGCAGAATAAGACATTAATATGTGCTTTATAAGTACTAATAAACAGCCAATATGCTAGTAATATGCATGCTAATAAGCGACTGCTTAATAGTGAGAATTGGTCCCTAAACTGTGTTACCAAAACAATTTTACACCCCCCTCTTAATGTATCACATTGACTTCTTGAGCATCATGTGGTTTAACGGCTTCAGACAAACAAGAGAGCATTAAGAATGAACTGTACAGTATGTAAACTTTTGAACAAGGTCATTTTTATAAATGCATCTATTATTTTGTCTTGTAGATATCTGATATGTGCAAAAGCTTATTCTGGGCTGTACCAAAAAATTCAATTTTTATAATCCCTCTTATTTATTTATTTATTTATTTTTAATTATTAACATTTAAAAAGGTGTGTGTAAACTTATGACCACAGCTGTAGTTCATAAGTTAAACTGTGGGCCGTTTATGAGAAAAAAACAAACAATCAGTGAACTAATGATTAGTGCATTAATACACAGCAGGTGCTGACTATTTTACAATGACTTAGAAATTTTAGAGCCATAATAAATTAATATAATGCAATATGTAAACAAAGAGTGCCATGGAAATACCATGGGATGCTACTATTACTGTACCATGCTTTTTTAGACTGTATCATGATACTATTTAAAGTTTAAATTGTGTCTGATATTCTCTTGTTTGACAGGTATAAGATGTTAAACCAGGAGGAGGGTGAGTACTACAACGTGCCCATCCCAGAGGAGAGTGACATTAACCTGGAGCTGCGGCAGAAGTTTGAGGTGAGAGTGTGTGTTTATCTCTTCAAACACACTCATTCATGCCAGAGGAGCGTTGAAGAGTCCTGCACGGCTGTTCATTCTCAAGTCAAGTGATTAAATCGCGCTTTAATGTGTAGTGAATGTTCAAATAACAGCATAGGACGCACTAATACGGCTTAGACTACTGTAGATCGTGACTCTCAAAGACCAAAAAGCCACTGTCAGGGTCACCATAGCAACTGTTTCCATGGTGAGATCTCGTGGTTGCTGTGTTGGTGGGATGCTGAGGGACACGACGGGTGCTGAGATCCCTTTGTCAAGTGTTTGCTTATTATGCAACGAATGTTTGGCTTAATAATGCCGGAAATGTTTGCTATTGTGTGTCTCTTTTTGGAAACTCCTCAAACTGTTTTGCTGATGTCAACTGACAGTTTGACAACTGATTAATGTGAAGCTTAGTTTGGGCACAACTCGTGGTTGTCAGTGGATCATGTTGATAGTTAATATGATAAACTTTATCTGTGGTTAATCTGCATGGACACTTGAGGAGAACTGAGCAAAAAATATCACAGAAAAATGAACCCTAGAATTGTTTCTTTTTATTATTTAGTTATATAATGCAGTGAAATTCATGTGCTTTTAAATGTAGCTTAAAGGGGTCATATGGTGCGATTTCAAGTTTTCCTTTCTCTTTGGAGTGTTACAAGCTGTTTGTGAATAGATAAGATCCCAAAAGTTGCAAAGACTAAAGTCTCAAACCCAAAGAGATATTCTTTATAAAAGTTAAGACTCGTCCACGCCGTCCTAAAACACCTCATTTACAACACTGTTCCAGAACAGTTCAACCCAAAATATTCAGATGTGTGCAACGCATTTTACGGAGGATGAGGACTGTTTCCTGGGAGAGTAGCCTACAATGCCAGTGTTCCGGTGAATTCAGTTCCCCTGTTTCCCCTTCGGTGCGCATGCTGACCCTATACACTCTACGATGCTGACAAATAATGCTGACTCACAGCCTGTAAGTACGTTTTCATATTTAAAGAATTTGCCACTGATGATTCAAACGCGAGTTTTGAGCAGTGTAGAGTAGCACTTGTTGTTTATCGTTTCTCCGAACACAAACTGTGTTCTTATACTTAACCAATACTTAACCTGAAAAACTTAGTTTCATAGCTCTCTTTATTCTATTGCATTTATTTTTTGCTGTTGTTTGCAATTTTTTTGTGTTCTTATTTTATTGAACCTTAAACCGCATAAACACATTTCATTACACAAAATACACAAAATAATGTTATTTTTTGCAACATCATATGACCCCTTTAAGTGTCCAAATACGTTTTGGGCCACTGCATATAAAAATAAATAACAATACAAATATAAAAATTCTCTGCAGTAATCGACCAATAGAATAAAGTATTGCATCTTAAAAAGAATTTAAACAAAAGTTTGGAGGGCAAAATCCATTATTACATTTTATTGTCTTTTGGTAGTAGTACAAATTTTGAACTACCTTCGCAAAATCTTTATTTGTGGCAAACTAATTTGTAATGAGGGTTTACACTTTATATTTGAAAGGCTAAACTAAAAAAACTGAGATGAAGAGCAAGTATCCGTCTTTAAACCTTCTCCTCTTGTTGCGAAAACAAATATGTTTTTCACAAAATTGTGAATCTGTTTGGACAAAACAGGGACTAGGTATTGCACCATTAGGCACCAGATTGTTTTTCAACATTTTTATTGACAATGTTTGTTTCAGACACTCTCCTAGCAACTATGAGCAGAAATAATGCCAAATATTACTAGACAGTCTGGTAAAATGCTTTCTGTATGCCACCTTCTGCAGTTTTGCTAATGCTCGTGTAAGTTGTCTGTCAGTGAGTGATTTGTCAGTGACTGTGTTGGTTTGACTGATCCTCTCTCCTTGTTCTGTGATGTTTGTTTCCTGCCTCTTCGAGTCTGAAGAGAAAAGAAAAGACCTGCTGTGTCTCCACAGTTCCTTTGTATCCCTGTATGCAGATAGCAGACTAACATCCCAGTTTTTTCCCTCTTGTAGGCCTGTCAGTTCAATTTCCACCTGCTGAAGGTAGCCTCCTCTCTCTGCCCTGCTCGCCTCTCGTCTGTCTCTATCTGTTCATCTTAGAGTATTAAAATCCCTCCCTCTGATTATTTGAGTGGCTCAGGCTGCTACAAAGAAATCAGATTTACTAACAAAGATGCAATCCAACTTCTCTCAGGTTTCTATTCACTTACACAATTTACACACACTTTCTTGCTCTCTTTCTTTATTGCTCCAGTGAACATCCACTGACATCTGACCTCTGATCAGTGAAAGAGGTGACAAACATGGTGCCATCTGAGCATGAAATATGATTGTTTTATTAATTAATTATTATTATTTCAAAACTATGAATGAATAGTAATGATCAGCAATATATATATATATATATATATATACAGCCATAAAAACTGCAGTTGTTAGTAAATAGCACAGCAGAGCACAGAAGCTAAAGGACAGGCAATGATCTTTTGGCTGTTTGTGATCTGCTTCGGCCTTCTATAGATCATAGAAGGTTTCCTCACACTCTGACCCTGAGCATGCTTCATGTGCATCCTGAACGAATGACAATCTTTTTGTCTAGCACCACAGGATAATGCTGTTCCTGTCACTCACTGAAAAAGGGTTTTGACACTGTTCTTCACTGCACTGTTGACAGTCTCAAGTGTACTACTAGTGTTTGGGTTTGCATGTAGATGTAAAGCTCACTTACATGAGATCTCCAATAGGGGGCAGCACTTGATAACTCTTCTAGATGTGTCTGATGTTTACTGTTTCTCAAAGAGCAACATGCTAATGAAATGACCATTTTCAACCCTTAAATGTGTGCATGTGAGAATAGATACATAACAATGTATTATGTGCTAGATATAGTCAGGAAGTATATTATATGTACATATATTTTACAAAATAGAGTTAAATTTTTGTCTAAAATGTATGTATCGTGTTCATACATGTTATTACACTGTAATTACAATTAATATAACATGTAATTACATCTGTAATTACACTATTTCACATACTATTTAAAATGTGCATCTTAATTTGTACCCCAATGTAGATCCTATTATATTAATGCAAAACATGAAAACGATGTTGTGTCGGTGGCTGTATGGTAATTCTTCATCGTTGAAAAGTCCTTACACATGATGTTTATACACTGTGTTTATTTAGAATACTACCTATAAGATTAACCCTAACCTTAAACTTTTTTATTCTGTAGTTTTACAGAATGGCATGCATGTACACAAGAAATATAGTTAACACTTTAGTATAGGGTCCAATTCTTACTGTTAACTAGTTGCTTATTAGCATGCATATTACTAGCATTTTGTCTGTTTATTAGTGCTTATAAAGCACTATAAATGTCTTATTTTGCATGACCATATTTTAGATCCCTTAATCTGACCTCAACTTAACTACTACCTTACTAACTATTAATTAGCAGCAAATTAGGAATTTATTGAGGCAAAACTCGTACTTAGCTAATAGTGAGAGTTGGTGTGACCATTATGTCTCACTCTATTTTAAAAATAAAGGTTCCAGAAGGGTTTTCAGAGCAATGCAATGAAGAACCATTTTGTGTTTCCCAAAAGACTATTCAGTGAACAGTTCTTAAAAGAAACATTTGAAGAGCGTTTTAATCTGAAGAACCTTTTTTCTGCTAAATAACTTTTTTGTGCAGTGGAAATACTCCATGCATGTTACAGCTTCTTTATGGAGCCATATCATTGTCATAATGAGACCCTAAAATTGCATCTTACTTCAGGTGACAAATCACATAACAGATTCTAGTATGCTATTGTTTTGCCAAAAAATTTAATGTAATCTATGAAAAATAAACCTTACCTTACATTTTAGCCTTTGATCTTTGCACAATGTTCATGATACACTGGTTCAATTTGGTTTCCAGCAAATGAGACACTAGTGTTTTTTTTTATTATTATTATTTAATTTTCTAAGCCCTGCTGTATAAGATTGGATCTGCTGTTTAAGAAGTCTCTTAAGAAAGCTCTTCATGTTTAATAATTGAGCATGGTAAATCTAAAACCAACCACATGATGGCTCCCTTCATACAGTAGGTTTAACAGATGCTTTTATTCAGAGTGGTTTACAAATGAGCAATACAACACAAAAGATTGATGCTAAAGGGACAGTAACATGAGAATGGCTTAGAAAATACCAGCTAGAAGCAAATTGTTTGGGAGTGTTATAACAGCTTGTTGAGAAGAGCTTCTGTGTTAGTATCAGAACCAGTGACTGTTCTCTGCAAGTATCTTTACATTGAATGTGATGTGAGCAGCCACTGGCATGTCCATTCGGGATCTCCACACCAGCACAGTAAACTTAGAGTAAGAGAAACTGAGAAATCCTAATAATAATAATAATAAAAAAAACATGCATCACAGCACTGATTCAATTAATAATGCAGCTGCAAATCAGTCATATAGTTGTGTAATATCTCAGTATTTTTCCGTCATGGTTTCTGTACAGTCAGAGAACACACAGTGATGGTGTTCCTCTTATCTCAGATTGGGCCCTTCTGTTAAATGGAGGTCTTTTCCATTACAAAAATGTGATATTTCATTAGGATTTTAAACATTCTATGACATATAATGTCTTAGTGCTAAAATGTTGCATTGTGCCAGTTCACATTAAATGTATTAAATATTAAAACACCATCAGAATTGCAAGATTGACAGCATGATTTTATAGATTATGGAAGAATAGGGGGTTTATTAGAAGAAAAAAATATTGCTATTTTTGCAAATGTCACAAAATCATGGTAACAAGGCTAATATTTTTAAAACCTTTTTTTTCTGAGAGAAGAGGATGCAGAAGGGGATAGGGCTAGATGGAGGCAAATGATTCGCTGTGGCGACCCCTGAAGGGGACAGCCGAAAGGAAAAGAAGAAGATTATTTATCAAAATGGGTATATTTGTAAAAAAAAAAAATTGCTTTGAAAATATAAGAATACTGGTAACACTTTACCTAAACTTACCAATTGCCTTATTAACTATTAATAAACAGCAAATTAGGAGTTTTTAAGGGGGTTATGTTAATAGCAAGAATTGGACCTTGAAATAAAGTGTGACCAGAATACCTATAATAACAGAAAAAGTGTCAGTTAATTGTTAAAGTCATTTTGGTAACACTTTAGAATAGGGAACACTTATTACCTATTAACTACGACTTTTCCCTCAATAAATTCCTAATTTGCTGCTTATTAATAGTTAGTAAGGTTGTTGTTAAGTTTAGGTATTGGGTAGGATTAGGGTTGTAGAATAAGGTCATGTAGAATAAGGCATTAATATGCGCTTAATTATTACTAATAAATGGCTAATATTCTAGTAATATGCATGCTAATAAGCAACTAGTTAAGAGACCCTAAAATAAAGTGTTACCTTCATTTTTTACACATACAGTATGTTAATAAGGGCACGCATTTTGTAGAATGAGCATTGCACATTGAGAATAGTGTGGTGTAGTCTTTCACAACTGACCACAGCGGGCAGCTAGTTAGCAGATAGGAAAAAATAAAAAAATATATAGAGTGCATTTAATGCCCTAGATGCTGTCTGTGGGTTTTTACACCAAAACAACAGGATGGAGTAGACTGTTATAGTAGAAAGCAAGTGAGAGTGCAGTATACAGCGAGAGTGTGTGAAAGATGTTGGAGGTGTAATTGTGGGGTTTGAAGGAGGAGCTCCACTGGATATGAACGCCACAAACAGAGCAACATCATGCTTCACTTAAAGACTCCATACTGTTAATAGTGCTATACTTCATGCTTCCAGTTATCAGACCTTCTCAAAAATCTGACAGTCTGTGCAGGAGGCTCGTCATTTTCTTTGCCAGATGAAAACGCTATACATTAATTTTGAGGCTGATATTTGTGAAGGACACAATGCAAGTAGACTTTACATAATTTGGAAGATGGCATGCTTGTCAACCATGAGTCGGGTTTATTTAGCACGCTGCAACCTAGAGGGGTGTTCACACTGACAGCGATTTGGAGTGATCGGTCTCATACATTTTTATTGAGTTAGGCGTTAAGGTGACATGAACGACAGCAACCGTAGGCAATGCAACAAAACGGAGCAGAGTTTAACTGTAGGGCACCTTCACACTAGAGAAAGAAAACAGTCAGGTCAATCTGAAATCAAGCATGTAAATACAGTCAATTGCATTTTGTGAAATCACCTTCTGTTTTGAAAAAATAAGTTCGGTCACACTTTAGTTTAGGGACCAATTCTCACTATTAACTATTAACTTCCTTTTACCTCAGTAAACTCCTAATTGGCTGCAAGGTAGTTGTTAAGTTTAGGTATGGGGTAGGATTAAGGAATTTAAAATATGGTCGTGTAGAATAAGGCATTAATATGTGCTTCAGGAGTACTAATAATAAACAGCCAATATGCTCGTAATATGCATGCTGAGAATTAGTCCCTAAACTAAAGTGTTACCATAAGTTCCAACAAAAATATGTTTAATATGTTTTTTTCCCCTTTACATCCCTGTGCCGCACCATCAAAACTAAAATCAGTGGATTCACTGTGTAAAGCCTAGTGAACAGGCTGTATGGTCCTATATGGTGAAATTGGGTGACTCACACGCCGCCTGATGCAGTTGGACACAGCAGTCGAGTAGCAATGCCACTGCAACTGACAGTGACTGGGTGACCATCAGCGACTGAATCACAGTTAGTGTGAATGGACTTTAAATGAACCCAGACATTAAAGCCAAGCACACTCTAGGTCACCATGATATACTTTACAGTATACAGAACAGACTTTGAAAAGGGTATGCATGGGAGCTAATTGGAAGGATGAGCCTGGAGGTTGTGTTCTTGTTCAGTTGGCCTGAAGATCTCTCTCCAGCAGCTGTGGACGGCTCTCAAGCCCAGCACACATTTTTCTGCATGTCCTGTCATTTTCACACAGGCCTGACCATGTTACAGCATGTTACTAAGAAGTGCCATATTGTGTAGTTGAGCACGCAACAGAGTTTTAATTGCCAGACATGCGTTTGAGTGCTGTGGAAGCTCATGTGTGTATTTGGGCATGTATTGGTTATTGATCACTCTCCATCACTCTTGTAGAAAGCCAGGCTCGGTCCTGGGAAGAAAGTCATCACTCCCTCTGATCACCGACGCTTCAGTTTACCATCCGGAAACATGAACAGAGTTCAACTCAATGACTTCCATTTTCTGGCTCTTCTGGGCAAAGGCAGTTTTGGGAAGGTCAGTGCTCCTGTCATGTCTCAAACAAATGCTTACATGTCTTTTGAAGATAAATCTCACAAAAAGCAAGCTACTAGATCTTCCTCAGAACAAATACAGAGTTCTGGCATGAAACTCTAGATGGCGCAGTCCAATAGGTCTAACTCAATCTGACCTGATGACATCATTATCACATGGCACAGCTGATTGGTTCTCTCCTGTATCAATAGCCAATGAGCTCGCTGCTCAACGTTCAAATATATGACTAGTGCTTGCCGTAGCAGTTGCAGCTTGCCTCGGTACTTGCTCTGCCGCAGCAGCAGCAGCATAGCAGATCTATTCCACCAAGACCAAATACATTAACATTGTCATGTACATTACCATGCCAATCCTGCATGGAGAACATTTTCTCCCTCACACGAAACGTACGATTGCACTGATTCCTATTGGAGTGACTCAAATTACACCAAGCAACAGTAAATGTGACCGCACCTTAAGAAAGCATATGCCAAATGACTTACTAACCCACACCATGAGTTTCCACTCAGTGTGTGTTTGTTTTCAACATAGGTAATGTTGGCAGAGAGGAAGTCCACTGAGGAGCTGTACGCCATTAAAATCCTGAAGAAGGACGTGGTGATCCAGGATGATGATGTGGAGTGCACAATGGTGGAGAAGAGAGTGCTGGCCCAGAGAGATAAGCCACCTTTCCTCACCCAGCTGCACTCCTGCTTCCAGACTGTGGTGAGAAATGCATCTCTTTATATCTGTTGTCTTTTTGTCTTTTGGGGGCGTTTCGGTTGCCAGTAGCTGTCACAATATCAGTAGATACAGAGAAGTATTTGTCTCGCCCACATTCCAAATTGTATGACGTTTGGTTAAATCCTAATCTTTCAGTATATTTCATCAGTATATATACATTACCAGTATATTTGCCCGGTAGCTCATATATGGCGTTGCACTTGTGAGGTGAAGCGCTCCGGTACAAATCTGTTATATTGACTATAGTTCCGTGATCATTTTATCCTGCTTTTAATATTGTTTTTGTCCTCTTTGGAGTTTGACATTCACTTTCATTGTGGAAAAGAGCTGCATGAAGAAGAAATTCTCATTCTCTTTCATAGAAAAATGTACACAAACAACTGATGTACGTAGTAGTTCAGGGTTTTGTAAGTGTGAGACAGGGGAAGCTCCTCCAGGAGTCACAGCAGGCCGCTCTCAGTAATGGGCATCCTGCTGATGAATAATGCAACAGATCCCAGCATGCCCTCACTAAATATTCATGAGCTGCACGCAGACAGCAAACCAGCCATCATGTCCACTCGCATTTCACTCCAAACACCTTAACTCCCTCTGGGATGGTCACGATGCCTCTTCAACATAACTGGTGACTAACTGGTTGATTCAGTACTGCATACAGGGACTTGCTTGTTTATTTTCTGCAGCTGTACTATTTATCTTGTGTCTTTTGTTAGGATCGTCTGTACTTTGTAATGGAGTACATTAACGGTGGAGACCTGATGTATCACATCCAGCAAGTGGGCAAGTTTAAGGAGCCACAAGCCGTGTAAGACATGACTCACTTCTTACTGTCAATCAAAAACACACGAGTACAGACTTTTGATGAACACATTAGTCAAGCAAAACAAATAGCTCTAGATGTGACTGAACATGCTGGTTTGTCTACACAGTGTGTTTGTGGGACTATGTTCGCACTGGAACACCGGCTTAATGCATGCTATACTGTGAAAAGTGGTAACCTGTTCATATTTCTTTCCAACACCAACACATTCCAACTTAAAATGCTGCCAAATGTGCTGTAATCCTTAATGAAGATTCTTTAAATCAGAATACATTTAAAAGCATTACAAATACTACCATGTTTATTAAACAGTTTTAAATTGTAAATGTTTTTGAATTACTGCACACTAATGAGAATTTGTGCAGGAATGTATGCAAAAACACATACAGTATAAAAATGTCACAGACGAAAAGCTGTAAACATTTGCTCCATCAACACCCAGTCTTCACACATGAATAAAACTGCAAATAAGGATACATATGAGGGCCTGTGTTCACGAAGAGCTGCTCCTGAAATAGAGTTGTTCATGTTGTTATTCTAATACAGTATATGCATGTGTGAGCAGCAAATGTCTGAGCTCACAACTTTTCACCTTGTCAACAGAGGCTAGAAAATTTCTGCTGGAACAATCAATGCAAGTTTATTTCTTTTGCTTCTTGTAAGGGCTGGGATGCCAGTCTGAGAAATACAAAACAAATGTGTCCTTTCTTTACATGTTAATGAATGCGTGATGTTGACTAATCTGCACTGTGTTGTGTTGACAGATTCTATGCAGCAGAGATTGCTGTCGGATAACAAAACAGTAGCTGATTCAGAAGCGCCAGATTGTCATAGCAAAGTCAGAATTACCTCCTCTCCTAGGTTCACGAAACGGTCGTCCATAGAATGCATTGCTGTTCTGTTGTAAGTGATCTTAAAGATTCCTAAATGCATCTACTTTCGGAAGGCCAAATAAAGTGCTTTTGCTTTCGCCTAGAAACACACAGCGTCTCCCTGACATGGCTGCTTCAACACTAACTGCGGTTACTGAGACCACGCCTTCTTTCTTTGCGTGCACATTTGGGCGGCATTATGCTAATATTTCCACATAGTGAGGTAGATATGTGGGGGCGTGTCTCTTTAGCTCTTATATCTCTTTGGTTTTGAGACTTTAGTCTTTGCAACTTCAGGGATCTTATCTATGCACAATCAGCTTGTAACACTCCAAAGAGAAAGGAAAACTTGAAATCGCATCATATGACCCATTTAAGCCAGAATTTGAATTTTACTATGGTAAAATAAATGTTCAGCGATATCTTCAAAAGATTTTTGAATTTTGGCGCACTTTTTTTTCTATATAATGTTTATATGGTAACTAGTAAATACTGTAAATTTTGTTATGCTAGCATATGTGGAAATATTCAAACCACGTGTGTTACAACTATAACCCTGTGTTACCTTGTGCCCCGCGCTCCCCTACCCTCCCAGGTCTTATTTGCAACAGCTAACATCCATTCTAGAGAAATGCTTCCTGAATATGATGAAAATTATAGACATCAAGAGGTGTGAAAAACACATTTGTGTGAAAATAGAAAAATAATTACTACTTTGTCCAATTTTGTCTAAAATTGCCCAATCAATTGTTCTCTTGAATAACAGTAGCAACTAGTAATATAAAATAATGAACCATAATGCTTTAATGAACTGTAATTCACTAAAATAGTCTATTTCTAAGACTTTCGGAGTGTTTAAAAGCAAATGTTTTCTCAAGTTTGATTTGATTTTGTTAAAGCTTTTACCCAAATTCTTTAGCAAAATAGACCTTAAGCTGTTTTAAACTGTCAGCTTCCAGCTGTTATGTGAAATAGCTAACATATCCATACTCTAGAGGAATGCTACCTGAACGAGATGAAAATGATAGACGTGTACAGAAGATGTGTACAGAACACTGTCATTGAAAACACATATTGCTTGTTGTAAACAACATTACTCAGGGTTTAGCAGGTCCGAAACACCCATGAAATGCAGTATAATCTTCCTGTCCAGAGAATGAGTCACTCTCTGAGGAGAAGGGGGCTGTAAGAAAGACTGTTTATGTGCAGCGCTGTCTACATTCAGCTCCTCACTCGCCGTTCCCATCCCTGCAGGGCTGCAGCGTTCAGCTCGCATTAATCATGCTCTTTGATGATGAAGGCTGAGGTCGCCCTGACCTCGCTTATACTGTCCACTCGCACGCGGCCATACGCACCCACAGCTAAAGACCACACTATTAACTGTGAACTGTCTGCCGGGTGAAACGAGGGAAGGCAGATACACAGCCTCTGCCATGAACATTAGTTATCTGCGGTGAATTTCATACACCAGGTTTGTGCATTTTGTCCTCAGAGATCTGAAGTTGGATAACGTGATGTTGGACTCCGAGGGCCACATCAAGATTGCAGACTTCGGCATGTGTAAGGAACACATGTATGAGGGCATGACGACACGCACCTTCTGTGGAACGCCGGATTACATCGCCCCGGAGGTGAGGGACGACCAAGACTGCATAAAAAAAACATTTATTCACTCATAATACCACCCCAAACCTGTATGACTTTATTTCTTCTGTGGAATACAAAAGGAGATTTATAAGGTATAAGGAAAGTAGTGAGGAGGGAGATTGTCAAACTCCAGGTTAAGAGAGAGTGATAACTAATTTGAACTGAAATCGAATGACCCGGACTGCCTCTGTCATATTCACTGCATGTAGGACACGACCTCAGGCCTTAAAGTCCTCACCCTTGCTGACCTCTCAACAGAGCAGGCTCCAGCGCAGCACTGATGAGGGGGTGGCTGAGGTGACGAAAGGGGGCGATGACGTAGCACAAAGTAAAAAAATAAAATAAAAATTGTAGCCCATTCGCGTATTTGTCGGACCGTAAACAAACCTGCCTGCTAACGTTACTATTAGAATACTGGGTTCACACAGAGTCGCGAGGCAGGTCAGTGGAAGGTTTTTTTGTTTGTTTGTTTTTTAACCCCAACGTCTAGAGACGTGTTTTTAGAAGCTGCATTTCTTTGAACTTGAGCGCCGTGTTTTAGAATGATGTATTATGCGCGACAAGCTGCTATAAAGACCTGAGACGAGCACAGCATTCAAACACAAATTCAAAGACGTCTGTAGCGCATTTAGTTTGAAATACAATGGAAAAGAACCGCAGTGGAATGAAAAATGCATTCTGAGTGAATGACCCTACAAAAATGTACTTTGCAAATACAGATGGCAGAGTCGGCTAGCTATTGAATAAAACAAAATCGCATAGGCAACAAATTCGAAAATCTGACTTCCAGGAAATAATATGTCTTAGTTTTACCACAAATACAGACAAGTGATACCACCCCAACCACCAGAAATACTTAATTGTGTCTGCTTTACAATGAAACACAAGCTTATTGCGACCGATTCCCTGACAACATAACACATTCATTGCGACCCATTTAACAGATGCATCATTTTAAGTTAGAACAACTTGAACAGCAACAAACAATAACAATACAGCGAAATAATCAACTAACTACGACCATCTAGCTCTCTATTAAACATTAAAGAATTATTTCATCATATCTTTAGCTCAGTGTGCTGCATTCTTAGTTGAACCACTTGCGCGGAAAGTTTGTGTCAGATGTAACAATTAAAATGCGACTTTGTGAAACGGACTGTCCTAAATTGTTGCTATAGTAGCATCATATTAATGCTGGAAAGCCTATGCATTTTGGTTTATTTGAATAAACCATTATATTTCATAAATAAAATCTATTTTCACACTCATCTTGAGTGAGGGTGCGGGATAGTTCGAGTGAGGACTATCCCGCCCCCTCCCCCCCGCCTCTCAACCAGACTCACACAACCTTATAACTCATATAACATTAGACAACCCAGGCTCTTTGTAAAAACGTGCCTGTGGCGATATCTCCGCAAAATGATATTTTATTGCTTCTTTTCACAGCACTTTCAAAATGAAATGTTCAGGAAGTTGCACTAAAAGTGCATTTAGTTTTATCTAAAACAGATTAACATGAATCTGGCAACGTTTTATTACATTTATAATGGCAGTTCAGAAATGAAATGACCAGTGAGTAGCGTGTAAAGGTTAACGTACCACCTACCCTAAACCCTACCGATAGTGTAAAAGAAAACGACATGAACATGCATTTGCTAAAGTAATCATGTAATTTGAGCTTGTTTCTTCAAATCTTTGAGCTCTTTTATCATGGCTCATGTTTCATGGGACTTGTACCCGAGTGCAAGTGCATTGTGTACCAGGTGAGCTACTGAGCAAGTTTAATACATCAGAAAAGCCATCCATATGGAGCTGGTTATGTGATGCAAACATCAATATGTATTAGTTTACAAACCATGCGCTATGATAAAAGAGTTTCAAAGTCATTA